GCCCAAAATGATTTCTGTCCCCTCCTGTTGTAGATATAGGTGACGGCTTGCACACTTTCCTGTTTGAGTGCATGTGGGTGCTTGTATAAATATTCACCTTTGCTCCCTCTCCCACATGTTGTGCCCCACTGACCACTCTGGTGCCCCATGAATTTATGTCCCTCAGGAGAGGAGGCCATTGCACAAGGACTGTGTAAGAGGACGGAGGTCCTTGTGGGCTCAGCTTTGCATTAAGAAGTCAGAAGGGGAAAGTCATTTGGGTTTTACTGCTTGAGCTGCTTCTGCAGAACAACATCAATCAAAGCCAATTCAACTCCTGTGTGTCTTTGCACCACAGGGGACTTGAAAATAACCCCTTTTTCTGCTCTGCTCTGTAAAGAAATACACTAAACCAAATATTAAAAACACACAAGTTTTCAAGTTCCAAAAGACCCTTCTTCACAAAATGCATTGCAAAGTTTGCATTGGAGGGGGTGGGGGAAAGAAGAGGCCGAATAAAGAGTCCAATGTTATTTGGGTTTTATTCTTGAGCTGTCTCTGCAGAAAAACATCAGTCAAAGCCATTTCAACTTCTTTGAGTCTTTGCACCACAGAGTACTTGAAAAGGGCCCCCTTTCCTGCTCTGCAAGAAAATCATAGAGATGATAGAAAAGTGAAGTTGGAAGGGGACCCACAAGGCCATCAAGTCCAACCCCCTGCTCAACAAATACAATCAAAGCATATCTGCCAGGTGATGATCTAAGTCTTTCTTGAATGCATTCCAGGGTTGGAGCGCTCACCACCTCCCGAGGTCATGGGTTCCCCTGTCGTCCTGCTCTACACTTAGGAAGTTTTTCCTGATATTCAACCGAAATCGGGCTTCCTTTCATCTGAGTCCTTTGTTGCATGTCCTGCACTCTGGGACGATCGAGAACAGATCCTGCCCCTCCTCTGTACGATAGTCTTTCAAATATTTGAAAAGTGCTATCCTATCACCCCTCACTCTTCTTTTCTCAAGGCTAAACATGCTCAATTCTTTCAGCCTTTCCTCCTAAGGCTTGGTTTCCAGCCCCCTGATCATACTTGATGCCGTCCTCTGAACTTGTTCCAATTTGTCAGCACCCTTCCTGAAGTCACCAACTCCCGAGGTCACTGGTTCCCCTATCCTACTACTCTAACAGTTAGGACTTGAGCCCATTGTTGCATGTCCTGCACTCTGGGACGATCAAGAACAGATCTTGCCCCTCCTCTGTATGACAGCCTTTCAAATATTTGAAAAGTGTTATCATATCATGCCTCAGCCTTCATTTCTCAAGGCTAAACATGCTCAATTCTTTCAGCCTTTCCTCATAAGGCTTGGTTTCCAGCCCCCTGATCCTCTTTGTTGCCCTCCTCTGAACTTGTTCCAATTTGTCAGCATCCTTCTTGAAGTGTGGTGTCCAGAACTGGACACAAGACTCAAGGTGAAGCCTAACCAGTGATGAATAAAGGGGGGACTAGAGAATGCCTGCAATCTCACCTGCATGGTGAGGATGACCGTATCGAAAAACCTCCAAGGGTGTCAGTAGGGGGCGCCTTTGTCTGTTCAAGACATCATCACTGCAGGGCAGCAGACTCAGATTCTGGAGTTTTTAAGGTCAATATTTGTGCTGATATGAAAGGACAGCAAACTAAATTGTTACTCTGCTATCGGTTTAACCTGTACACATGTCGAACTGTACACCAGTTGACCTTACCAGGTGCAAGGTCAACTGGTTCTGAAAAGGCTTCTGTGCACGGGGCATACTCTGGTGTCACAGTCTGGCTTGACCTGTCCCACGTGAAGCTGAGCTGGATCACACCAGGTAGTGTAACGGGGGTGGAAGGGGGGGATAAGATAGATCAGGATGGCGGTCAATATTTGTGCTGATATGAAAGGACAGCAAACTAGGTTGTTACTCTGCTATTGGTTTAACCTGTACACATGTCAAACTGTACACCAGTTGACTTTACCAGGTGCAAGGTCAACTGGTTCTGAAAAGGCTTCTGTGCACGGGGCATACTCTGGTGTCACAGTCTGGCTTGACCTGTCCCACGTGAAGCTGAGCTGGATCACACCAGGTAGTGTAACGGGGGTGGAAGGGGGGGATAAGATAGATCAGGATGGCCAACTTCATCCTGCGAAGTTGCTGGAGGAATGGATGGAAACTGAGTAATCACCTGAACTGAAAAATAATACTTTTTCTGAACTACTATTTCCTCCACCAAGGTGTGGCTGACGGGTGAGTCCTGGAAGCGATAGCCCAGAGAAGTAAAACTTTCAGCCCTGCATCACTAAATAAACTTGAAATTGCTATATGTGAGACAAATCACAAATGGGAGCTGAAGGTTGGAGCAGGCACGTGAAGCTGAGCTGGATCACACCAGGTTGTGTAACGGGGGTGGAAGGGGGGGGATAAGGTAGTTCAGGATGGCCAGCTTCATCCTGCAAAGTTGCTGGAGAAATGGATGGAAACTGAGAAATAACCTGAACTGAAAAATATTACTTTTTCTGAACTACTAACTATTTCTTCCATCAGGTGTGGCTGACTGGTGAGTCCTGGAAGCGATAGCCCAGAGAGGTAAAACGTTCGGCCCTGCATCACTGAATAAACTGGAAATTGCTACACGTATATGTGAGACAAATCACAAATGGGAGTCAAAGGTTGGGGCAGTCG